GGCACAAAGTGGGGATGACGCTGCTGAGGCTGCGGTGCCTCAAATATTGGAAGAAGTCACCCCCTGTGAGTGGCTGGCAGAGGTGCCATCGGTTGAGGAAGTACTGAAGGCGATCCGGAGTCTGAGACCAGGAAAGGCACCGGGCAGAGATGATCTCCCAACCGAAATGCTGAGGGAGGGTGGCGTTTGTGCACAGACTGCCCTATATGACATAATAACAACAGTCTGGGCCACTGGACGGGTTCCGCCGGATTGGAAGGATGCCCTGGTGGTCCCCCTCTTTAAGAAGGGGGACCGCACAGACTGTAACAACTACAGGGGCATCTCCCTCCTCAGTGTGCCGGAAAAGTCCTGGCAAGGATTATTCAGCATCGCCTTGCCAGGCACGCTGAGGAGAGGCTTGCGGAGCCCCAATGCGGTTTCAGGAAAGGGCGGTCCTGCACAGATGCCATATTTTCTCTCCGTCTGCAACAGCAGAGATGTAGGGAATTCCAACAAGACCTACATCTCTGCTTTATTTACCTGCTCAAGGCCTATGATACCATCAGTATGCCTGGGCTCTGGGTTGTTCTTCGTGATTTTCGAGTCCCTGACCTCCTGCTCACGATCATTAAGGACCTTCATGATGGTGAGCGGGCCCGGGTTAAACTACGTGGCCGGGAGTCAGAGCCATTCCCTGTACACCTTGGGGTGTGACAGGGATGTCCTCTGGCTCCCACATTATTTAACATCTATTTTGACCACGTAGTTCGTGAAGCCTTCAATAGCTGTACCGGGGGAATCTCCATTTGGTACAGATATAATGGGAGGCTGATCGATGTCCGGGTGCGGTCAAGGGATGGCTCCCTATTGCTCAACCACGTTATGTATGCCGATGATTTGGTAATAGCTGCTCATTCAGAGGAGGAGTTGGAAACGCTGCTGCTGAGACTGGAGCATGCCACTAAGAGATGGGGCCTTACCCACAGCCCCAACCAAAACTAAGCACCTGCCTGGGCATTTTGTACCATCGGACACTCCACTCCCAAAGGGTGATGGGGCAGTTGTGGAGAGAGTGGAGAATTTCCCATACCTGGGCAGTGTGCTTATGACCGGCTCCAGTTTAACAGCAGAGGTCTCACTCCGAATCAGTCGAGGGGCAATATCTTTTCATCGGTTGCGTAACGCTGTGTGGAAGCTACCTGGTCTGTCGCTCCGCACTAAGCTCAGGTCTTCTCGGCCACGGTCATTCCCTCCCTGCTCTACGCTTGCGAAACGTGGACCCCCCTAATGGAACATCTTCGCCGGTTAGAAACATTTAGGCTGGCCTGCCTACGATCGATCCTGGGTTTAACCAGGCTGGATTGTGTGAGGAGCTCACAAATGCTTGAAAGATCTGGGCAAGGTCCCATCGGTGAGCTCCTCCGGCAGGCAAGGCTGCGTTGGCTGGGTCATGTAGCCCGCATGCCCAGCCACCGCATGCCGAAACAGCTTTTGTTCGGCCGGATCGAGGGGGCTAAACGGGCGCGGCACGGGCAAGAGAAGAGAAGGAGTGATGTGGTACAGGAGGACGTGGAGCTGAGTGGACTTGCCGATGACTGGTACCAGCGGTGTCAAGATCGGCCTCTGTGGAGGAGGCTCGTGAAGGACGCTACTGGGCAGTTGGAGGTAGTCGCCCTCCAACAACAACGGAGGGCGGAGGAACGACGCTCACAACAACGAGCGGAGCGCCGGGTGGCTAAAGCACAGCAGGTTGGCACAGTAGGGGGCACAGGTGGTGCACCAGCCAGTCATCTCAGTCAGTCGACCTGTGGCACCTGGGTCTGCCCCGTGACCTCCTTGACACTTCACGTGGCCTCAGGGTGCACATAGCCTGGCACAAGCGTCGTGGTGACATCACCTCCACTTAGTGGTGAATGGCGGTTGTTGTTGTCACTGTGTGTCACTGTGTGTGTGTGTCACTGTGTGTGTGTCACTGTGTGTGTGTCACTGTGTGTGTGTGTGTGTCACTGTGTGTGTGTGTGTTCCGAGTGCGCGTGTATTAAAATACTTACGGCTGCCCACACCGACGCGTGTGTGTGTGGGGAGCGATAATGTAGCGGTTCGATTCCCACTCACGGCCAACACCAGTGACGATTATCTGAACCGGTCCCGGGCCTCCCCTAGGTCGACTAAGCCTCAAATGAGTACCTGGTGCGGTGTGTAAACATCGCCACTGGGGAGACAAAGGCGGTCGGGCGTGGTGCTGGCCACCCACCCCCTCGTGTACCGTTCCGGCCTTCATTGGTGCTCGCTAACAGCACTTGCCCCTACAGTCTGTTAAGGCTATATGGGAGATCTTTGTCTTTTTGCGTGTCACTGTGTGTGTGCAACGCTGTGGTGAGCAGTGCCATGGGGGGAGAGGGCCAATTTCGATTGGCCCTCTCCCCTCATGACGTTTGCAGCCACCACAGCGGCCAAAAGGGGGCTCTGGATGGGTGCGAGGGGCTGGTAACCCCTCCACCTTCAACTAACTACCACGAAACCACGATTTAAAACTTAAATTAAGCTTGTGTCGGAGGCCCCGGGATGACAGGCATCTATGACGTCTCCAGACCCCCAATTTGCGGAGCCAGGAGATTGAATCCTTACCCTCAGGGCTCCTCCAGAAGTAACAAAAAGCCACTACGGATGGCCACGTGGAATTTTGGAACGCTCACTGCGGAGGAGAGGCTGCCACTCCTCTGTCGGGAGCTGGACCGGTACCGCCTGGATCTCTGTGGTATTCAGGAGGTCCGGTGGACCGGCTCTGGCTCCTGCCACCATGAGGGGTGGACAGTCCTCTACTTGGGGCAGCAGACTGCCAAACAACAGGGTGTGGCTCTTCTTCTGAACAAAATAATGAAGGGGGCGTGGGAGCGTGGCGGTGAGGTGTGGGAAGCTGTAAGCCCCAGGCCACTTTGGGCTCACCTTCCCATCAACCGGAGGCGAGGAGTGGTGGTCGTGGTTACTTATGCCCCCACCGAAGACGAGCATCCGTGGAGGGATGCAGGCAAGGCCGATGAGTCAGATGCCTTCTATGACCTCCTGTCACAGGTGCAGGCTAAAGTGGCCCCTCGGGACAGAGTCATCATGTTGGGTGACTTCAATGCCCGAGTTGGTCATGATGCTGGCACCTGGTCTGGAGGCTGATAAGACTTTTGTGAAGCCCATGGGCTTGTAATTACCAACACGCTGTTCCGGCATCGGCGCATCCACACAACATCATGGATGCACGCCGGGTCCAAGCAAGAACATCTGCTGGACTACATAGTGACGGACCAGCGGATGCGAGCCCATGTCCTTGACACCAGGACCTACCGTGGAGCTGATCTGCCCTCATGTGCCATGCCGGCCTTTATAGGTGCGGCTCGCTAACCGCACTTGCCCCAACAGTCTGTTACAGGCTACACGGGGGGTCTTTGTCTTTGTGCGTGTGTCACTGTGTGTGTGTGTCCGTGTGTGTCAGTGTGTGTCGGCGCGTGTGTTGATGTTTGAACGGATGAACACACGCGAGCGCTGATCTCATCTTATCGTTAGATTAATTATCACCACGATCACTCCCCTGACACTACACACACACACTACACACACTACACACACACATATCACACTCACTCCATGCACACATACACACACTACACACACACCGCACAGACACCGCACACATACACACACTACACACACACCACACACACTACACACCACACACTACACACACACACTGCACACACTACACACAGCACACACACCGCACTTACACACACCCCACACACACTACATACACATCACACTACACACACACCATACATGCACACACACACACACTTCACACACACACACTACCCACACTACACACACACATCGCACTTACACACACACAACACACACACAACACACACACCCCACTTACACACACACCACACACACTACATACACACACCACACTACACACACACACCATGCATGCACACACACACTACACACACCACAAACACCTTACACATACACACGGAGGGCAGAGGAGCGACGCTCACAAGGACGAGCGGAGCGCCGGGCGGATAAAACGCTACTAGTTAGCACAGTCGGAGGGGGTACAGCTGGTGGTGAATCTACCATTGGTCATCTCAGTCAGCCAACCCATGGCACGTGCAGGGTCTGTCCCGAGACCTCCTGCACCTAGCCTGGCACAGTAGGGGGGGGGTACAGCTGGTGGTGCATCTCCCGCATGCTGTGTCCGCGCGTGATGTCTATTGTTGTAGTGTAGTGTATAATGTATAGTAGTAGTGTATATTGTATAGTAGTAGTGTAGTGTATAATGTATCGTAGTAGTGTAGTGTATAATATATAGCAGTAGTGTATAGTAGTAGTGTAGTGTATAATGTATAGTTGTAGTGTATAGTAGTAGTGTAGTGTATAATGTATAGTAGTAGTGTATAGTAGTGTAGTGGATAATGTATAGTAGTAGTGTATAGTAGTGTAGTGTATAATGTATAGTAGTAGTGTATAGTAGTGTAGTGTATAATGTAGAGTAGTAGTGTAGTGTATAGTGTATAGTAGTATTGTAGTGTATAGTAGTAGTGTAGTGTATAATGTATAGTAGTAGTGTAGTGTATAATGTATAGTAGTAGTGTATAGTGTATAGTAGTAGTGTAGTGTATAGTGTATAGTAGTAGTGTAGTGTATAGTGTATAGTAGTAGTGTAGTGTATAATGTATAGTGTAGTGTATAGTGTATAGTAGTAGTGTAGTGTATAATGTATAGTGTAGTGTATAGTGTATAGTAGTAGTGTAGTGTATAATGTATAGTGTAGTGTATAGTGTATAGTAGTAGTGTAGTGTATAATGTATAGTGTAGTGTATAATGTATAGTAGTAGTGTATAGTGTATAGTAGTAGTGTAGTGTATAGTAGTAGTGTATAGTGTATAGTAGTGTGTAGTGTATAGTAGTAGTGTAGTGTATAGTGTATAGTGTACGCGCTGTGCTGTGAGTGCCACACTCACCGCGTAACGTCTGCACCGTGGGTTCTGAGAAGAGCGGCAGGAGCAGGAGGCACAGCAGGTAGAAGAGGGAGAAGGCGTTGTACCTCAGCACCACCGCTACGGACGACACACACACAACGTATGGGTTAACAGGTATGCTGCTATACACTACACTATACACTACATTATTATACACTACACTACTATACGCTACATTACTATACACTACACTATACACTACATTACTATACACTACACTATACACTACACTACTATACACTACACTATACACTACATTATTATACACTACACTGTACACTGCACTACTATACACTACACTATACACTACACTATACACTACACTACTATACATTACAATATACACTACAATATTATACACTACACTACTATACACTACATTACTATACACTACACTATATACTACATTACTATACACTACACTATACACTACATTACTATACACTACACTACTATACACTAAACTATACACTGCACTATACACTACACTATACACTACATTACTATACATTACACTATACACTGCACTACTATACTTTACACTACTATACACTATACACTACACTACTATACATTACACTATACACTGCACTACTATACACTACCCTACTATACACCTCACTATACACTGCACTACTATACACTATACTATACACTGCACTACTATACAATACACTACTATACACTACATTACTATACACTACACTATACACTACACTACTATACACTACACTATACACTGCACAACTATATACTGCTACACACTACACTATACACTACACTATACACTACACTAATATACACTACACTATACACTGCACTACTATACAATACACTACTATACACTACACTACTATACACTACACTACTATACACTACACTACACACTAAACTACTATACACTACACTATACACTGCACTACTATACAATACATTACTATACACTACATTACTATACAATACACTATACACTACACTACTATACATAACACTATACACTGCACTACTATACACTGCTATACATTACACTCCTATACACTACAAACAAAATGAGGGTACCCCAATGGGTTCCCCCTTATCGCCAGTGGTAGCGAATGTTTTCATGGAGAAATTTGAAACAGATGCCATCCTGACATCCACCCTACGTCCTTCCCTGTGGAAGAGATACGTGGATGACACTTTCGTCATCTGGCCACATGGCCAGCCAGCACTGAACCAGTATTTCAACCACATCAATTCCATACACCCGTCTATCACCATCCACCATGGAAGTGGAAAATGATGGCGAGCTACCATTCCTGATTGTTTCGATCGAGGAGAGGCCTGATGGCTCGTTGGGACATTTCGTCTACAGGAAAACCACTCAAACGGATTCCTATCTAAAGCCCGACTCCCACCACCATCCGGCCCAGAAGAAATCCCTCATCAAAAGACTACACCATAGGGCCCGCCGCATCTCCGACCAACACCGCCTATCCAGTGAACTGGAGCACGTGCACCAAGCCCTCAAGATGAATCGATACTCAGACCGCACAAGCCGAAAAGCTGTAGCCCCAACCATGGGGAGATAACCATCTGAGGATCCAATCAAAACCATCACCTTGCCATACATAGCAGGTGTTACCAAAAAGATTTCCGAAACCTTAAACAAACACAGGATCCAGGTCAGATTCAATACAGTACACAAAATCCGTGATTTGATCCCCATCCGTGAAGGATGTCATTCCCGACATGCGATACCCCGGGGTCTACAAACTAAGTTGCGTCTGCGGCAGCAGTTGCATCGGGCAAACGAAACGACATGTCTCGGACCGTGTTCGCGAACACAAGGCAGATTTGAAACACGGCAGAACCAATACCTCTGCAGTGGCTGATCATTGTTATAACGCAGTGGGCTCGCACGATATTGGTTTTTTTTTTTCCGAGACCAAGGTACTCTGCAAACCTTCGTTGCTACCATCAAAGATTTGTCCACGAAGCCATCCAGATAAGTAAGCGCGGAGACCATTTCAACCGAGAAGATGGGCGTGAGCTGAGCAATCATTGGAAGGACGTTATTAAGCAAGCAAAGCCGTAACTTGCCGCGGCGCTTCCATTCCTCCCTGCCGTTTGGCTGTTTATCTCCGACGCTCTGAGTTGCATTGCCCCGTTAGGTGCCGTTGCATTAACGGGCTGGGGTCTCACTAACATGGCCCACCACGGCTCCCCTTAGCCTCGATGTATCGATGGTTCCGGCTGTGCGATGCGCTTTGTGTCTCACTGACGCGACCACCGTTGTGGTGGTTGGCAGAGCCGCGGCTTGTGTTACACATAGACGTGACATAAACCTGATAATCCCCCTACGCTCCCTGCCTAAGCTCTCGCATCAACATAGTGCTAATCTCCCATTAACACTATACACTACACTATACGCTATTATACACCATACACTACACTATACACTATTATACACTGCACTATACATTACACTATAAACTACACTATTACACACTACAACTATACATTACACTCTACGCTATACACTATTATACACTATAACTATACATTACATTATACACCACACTATACACTACATTATACACTACACCATACACTGCACTATACACTATTATACACTACACTATACATTACACTATACACTACACTATTATACACTACAACTATACATTACACTCTACACTATACACTATTATACACTACAACTATACATTACACTCTACACTACACTATACACTATTATACACTACACTATACACTCCACTATACACTACACTTTACACTATTATACACTACACAATACATTACACTCTACACTACACTATACACTACTATACACTGCATTTTACACTACAATATACACACTATACACTACACTATACACTACTATACACTACACTATACATTACACTATACACTACATTATACACTGCACTATACACTACACTATATACTACACTAGACACTGCACTACTATATACTACACTGTACACTGCACTATGCACTGCACTACTATACACTACACTATACACTACACTATACACTACACTATACACTACATTGTACAATGCACTACTATACACTATACTATACACTGCACTATACACTACAGTATGCACTACACTATAGACTGCACTGCTAGCCACTACACTATAAACTACACTATACACTGCAATACTATACACTACACTATACACTGCACTACTATACACTACACTATACACTACATTATACACTGCACTATATCATATCTGTAAACCCCTAATCGGTGCCCTACCTTATTACAGACCAAGTTAGACATTACTGGTAACCCCGTGCCCCTTATAAATCTCAACGTTCATCCTACAAAGTCCCATCACAAGGCAGAAACACAAACACATTGACATAATTTTATTTTCCCCCGTATTGAAACGGCTGTGCGTAGTATGGACCAAAAAACTAAATTTCCCTGTACAAGAATACGGGGCAAACCGTATGGGTTGACACGTATGGTAGAATATATTGTAGTGTATAATGTATAGTAGTAGTGTATAGTAGTAGTGTATAATGTATAGTAGTAGTGTGTAGTGTATAGTAGTGTAGTGTATAGTTGTAGTGTATAATGTATAGTAGTAGTGTACCGTGTATAGTATTAGTGCAATATGTATAGTAGTAGTGTATAGTGTATAGTAGTAGTGTAGTGTATAGTAGTAGTGTATAATGTATAGTAGTAGTGTACCGTGTATAGTAGTAGTGTAGTATGTCATGTATAGTAGTAGTGTATAATGTATAGTCGTAGTGTACTGTGTATAGTATAGTTGTAGCGTTTAATGTGTAGTAGTGTATTGTGTATAATAGTAACGTAGTATATGATGTATAGTAGTAGTGTATAGTAGTAGTGTAGTGTATAATGTATATTCGTAGTGTGCTGTGTATAGTAGTAGTGTAGTATATCATGTATAATAGTAGTGTTCAATGTGTAGTAGTGCATTGTGTATAATAGTAACGTAGTATATGATGTGTAGTAGCAGTGTATAGTAGTAGCGTAGCGATTTGTATGCTTAGGTGGTAACCCTCCGTGGCTGTGTGTCGGGTGGTGGAGGGTTTAACGACACACAGTTTTACTTACGAGATCTAACGCCAACACAAAAAACCCCTCTGTTATGGAGAATATTGATCCGAACTGAAGGCAAAGTTGCCTCCCGTATAGCCTGTAACAGACTGTAGGGGTAAGTGCTGTTAGCGAGCACCTATGAAGGCCGGAACGGTACACGAGGGGGTGGGTGGCCAGCACCACGCCCGACCGCCTTTGTCTCCCTAGTGGCAATGTTTACACACCGCACCAGGTACTCATTTTAGGCTGAGTCGACACAGTTACACACACACAGTTACACACACAGGTACACACACACACAGGCACACACACACACAGGTACACACACACACAGGTACACACACACACAGGTACACACACACACAGGTACACACACACACAGGTACACACACACACAGGTACACACACACACAGGTACACACACACACACACAGGTACACACACACACAGGTACACACACACACAGGTACACACACACACAGGTACACACACACACAGGTACAAAGACAAAGATCCCCCGCATAGCCTTAACAGACTGTAGGGGCAAGTGCTGTTAGCGAGCACCTATGAAGGCCAGAACGGTACACGAGGGGGTGGGTGGCCAGCACCACGCCCGACCGCCTTTGTCTCCCTAGTGGCGATGTTTACACACCGCACCAGGTACTCATTTGAGGCTGAGTCGACCTAGGGGAGGCCCGGGACCGGTTCAGATAATCGTCACTGGTGTTGGCCGTGAGCGGGAATTGAACCCGGGTCGCCAGGTTCATAGCGCAGCGCGCTAACCGCTACACTACCGCTCCCCACACACAGTTACACACACAGTAACACACACACAGTTACACACACACAGTTACACACACACACAGGTACACACACACAGTTACACACACACACACACACAGGTACACACACAGTTACACACGCACAGTTACACACACACAGTTACACACACACACAGGTACACACACACAGTTACACACACACACAG